AGAGCGCCCTCGGCGGCTGAAGCGACTCGAGCGAAACAGCCGCTCCACCTGCGGGGGGAATCGCCTCGAGGTAGCTCTCGCCTCAGCGCCGCGTTCCCAAGGCAGGACTTCAAAATCTCAAAATATCAAAACCCCAAAACATTTTTCAATATTTGAGATGTCTGGTTTTCCCTCAAAAAGTGAGATTTCAACCGGTGCTTTCAAAATCTGAGATCTGAGATTTGAGATTTTGAGATTTCAACCAGAGAACTGATATTTCAATATTATCAATATTTCTTGCTTAAATTGATATTCGGATGCTTTGGGGGGGGGCCGGAAGGGCCCCGAGGGGTCTCGAAGAGGGGCCCTAGCGACGACAACGACGTCGACGAACTGATAACCCAGCCACAGGCTCGGGGCATGGCGCGGGCGGCGGGGGGGGGGGTCAGCCATTGCCCCGTCAGCGCCGGCGCTGTCGTCGCTGTGCAGTATTATTGTTTGTTGAATATCCTTGCAAAGAAAACCCCCTCACCCTCCCTCTTGCGTCTGCTGGGCTCTTGGAATGGCCCTCTCGGGGGGTCTCACTGGGCCTGGGGGGGGGCTTTGGAGAGGCCCGGCGGGGCTCCATGGGGGGGCCCGAGTGGGCCTCGGTGGGCCTCGAGAGTGGCCCAGAAAGGGCCAGCGACCCGTCGGGGAGAAGGCTTGTTTTGTGACAGGTCAGTTGGCCCTCCTGGAGCCCTCTTGGAGCCCCCTTGGGATCTGTTTGGGGCACTCTTGGGCCCTGAGCCCTCTCGCGGCCCGCGCTGCTCGGGCGGGCCCGCGATCGCCTCCCGCGCGGTCGCGCGGAGGCCCGAGATGGCCCAAGACCGTTCCAGAGCAGCCCATGGGCGCTCAAAGAGGGCCCAAAGTGACATCAAGTCGGATCAAGAAGCCCCCGAGGCGCCGCCGGGGCCCCCCCCCCCCCCCCCGGGAATGTCAAGAAGCACACATAATCGCTCTCTTTAGAAGAACTACATGTTCTGCATCAGATGTCCTGCCTTGGTCTTCGAAGCGTCCAAGACGGCCTGGCCGGGCCCCGAGATCGCCCCGATGCGGCCCAACATTAGGCAAGTATCAAGTAGGCACTCAGCGGGCCCAAGTATTTCCGCGCTCGCCTCCACCCGTCCCCCCTATTGTAGGTTTGACTGCGCGGTGCTCCTTCTTCAACGATCAAGAGGGGGAAGCAGGCGCGAACGCGTGCAACGTGTGCGTCCATTCCACCGGAATGTGCGCGACCTATTGGAAGTGGCCTGAGTGTTGCGTTGCTCCAGCTAGTGCGTGAGATGCATTATTCGTTGAACACGGGGCTCGTATGATTTGAGAGGCCACTTTCGAGGCTCCCAGCCCATCAGAAGCTGGTCGTTTCCATTGTAGCTTCTCGCTCCTGGTGCAGTTCCGGTTTCCTCATGTCCAAAAGTGCTTGCGCGTTCGCCAGGCAGCTCAGGAAGAGCAGGATCCAGATGCGGTCGATGAAATGCCAGATCAAGCACATGGCAAAACGCAGCAGGGATATGAGGATTCGGATGGAGCGCCTGCAGCAAGCCGCCGCTCATGGTATCCAGGCTGATGATCAGAACGCTGCGCGCGGGGAGACTGCGATTCAGGTCGTGAACTATGAGGTTCAGGCTGAATGGCAGGCCGAGGCGAACGCAGCCGCTCAGCGTCGTTCGGCCGCCTCTCATTCGTCTCAGGCTGCGCTGCCCTATGCCGCCATGCCGAGGTGCCCAGGCTGCCTTTCGGCTGTCAGTTCATAGCCGGCGTTTGGCGACCAGGTGGGCCGACCGAGTAGTGGAGGCTTCGAGGAACGCTCCAGCAATGTTTATGCATCCATATCCTCCCACTTCCTTTTCTCTCGAACTATTCGAGCCCTCCGGTGGTGCAAAACAGAGACACATGGGCATATGGGTGCACTTATTTCTCTCTAATTTTTCTCTCGGCACATGCAAACCCTTCATAGTCCCTCGGGAATTGCGACAACATGCGGGTGCACTCGGAGGACCAATAGCAGAGTTAATACAGCTAAACATACATAAGTTTTAAAACATGACGTATAATCTAACGGCGACAGCAATATCGCAACACGCACAATCACACATGCAAACGCACGAACGTTCGCGACCGAACGACTTCCCCCAAACACGCGCGCGCACGTCCGTTTCAATATTTGCTCCTCAAAGTCGCCCCCCCCCCCCCCCCCCCATTCGAGGCGCGCCGAGGCCCCGCGACGTCTCCGCAGCTGGGGCACGACAAGCCACAGCGCCACCAGACTGGACGCATTGCTTGCCTTCCTCTGGGCGGAACCTCGCGCCGCCGAAGCCAGAAACCCAACCGGGCGGGCGCGGGCGCAACCCCAGATCGGGAACTTGCACGGTTGGGCGCCGCCTTATCGGGGAACTATTTGGGTCGATCATGGGGCCCCAATACGCCTACCGATCGCGGCTTAAATTGGGGCCTCAATCTGCCGTCGCCATTTTTCACGGGATTTCGGGCTCGGAAAACAAACGAACATTAATCCACATAACACGTGCCATTCGAAAAGAAGAGGCACGGCTCCCAGCCGCATTGCGAAACATGACCAAGCGTTGCCGCCTTTGCCGTAGTGCCATGGGTCTTCGTGTCCGCGACGCAGCCCGAACTCTTGAAGTTGGACCTCGAGCCATGCGCCTGGGGGCCAGATTCGAAGACTGATGTTGCCGAGGCCCTGGCACCATCGGCATCCGCACGTCTGCGTTGAATTGACGCATCATCAACAGCGCTCTCGGCGCGAGGCCCTCGCGCAGCGCGCGGGTTCGAAGCGGCGCCCTCGATGTCGGGGCCCCCGGCGCGCGGGCCGCGCGGGCGCGGCCCGCGAACATGCCTTGCCGCGACGCAAAAAAAAGAACAGCGGATGCTGAGGCGGCCTTTGGGTCGCCTTGGGGTCGCGCGCGCGCGAGGCATTGCCCGCGCGGGTCGAGGGTGGTAGTCCACGACCGGGCCTCGACCAATTTTGACGGCCTCAGCATGTCGATAGCCTTCGTTCGGCCCAAGAAAGCGCTCGTCGAAACATGCCCCAGCAACGTCGCAAGTTTTGATTGGAGGTTGCGGGGGGAGGTGCTGTCCGAGGGCGCCCGCGCGGCCACCCGCCGGGCGATGGGGGGATTGGGGGGGGCTGCTGGCAACTGCGATGGGTTTGATGTTGGCGATGCTTGGCGCGCCGCCCTCGATTGGGCGACGATGCGCGCCGGCGATTTGCGCCGCGATGTCATGTCACTGGCGACCCCATCCCATTCAATCGATCGCAATATTGGCCTCGCGGCTAGTCGTGGAGCCAGCGATCGAACCCGTTCGCGATCTTTCACTGATTGGCGCTGAGTGCGATCGGGGCGCCATCGGGGCGCCATGGGGCCAAAGCAGCGCCGCCAGCCACTATTGCTCTGTGATGGGTGTTTGCTGATGGTGGTGGTTTTGCGTCGATGGCGATGTGATTGTTTATCTGCGCTTGCGCCATCGCCTCCAAGTGAACTGGGCGCCAGTAGCCCGAGCCCGTCGGGCTCGGGGGCCGAGTCGCTGCCGGCGCGGCTCATCGCGCGATGGAGCCTGGCACGGCGGGCGCGAGCGGGGGGTGGCTCGGGCGCAATGCGCCGCATTTGCGGGGCGCGATCATCTTCCGACCAGAACTCGCTGCCCGGGTGTTTCGGACGTGGCAGGCGTGGGGGGCCGGGCAAGGACAGGTGGCGACGACGTCGTGGCGGCCTGGCGTTCCGCTGCTGGATTGCGCGCCAGCGCGTGATCTTCGCCCTCGGAGAACTTCGCCGCGTGTTCAACTGCGGCAGTCGGGCGCGCGGCGCCGGCAGAGACTGGCGCTTTGCGCGCGACAGCCGACGCGAGAACGAGAGCGCATTCTATGTCCTCCTGGCACGTCCGCATCCGTCCGAAGTCGCAGTAACCCGCCGAATTCACAGTCGCGGGCGGGTCGCTCAAGAGGCAAAACGCGCTCGGGGGAAACACCTCGCACGAATGATCGGCCAACTCCTCGTCGCTCAGCGGCCTCAGGTGGGCGTTGCTCGCGCCGCTCATTAGCGGCAGTGCCCGGTCTGCGCGCGCGGTGCTCTGGGCGGATCCTTGGACTGCCAGGCTGGCGAACGAGCCCTCAACGACGCGGCCCGCTGGGGCTGGGGGCGCGACGCCCGCGGTCACCGTTGAGAGGCCGCGGCGCAAACGCGCAGGCGTTGGCGACGCAGCTGCGTTCAGCGGCGCGGTGCCCGCCTCCGCGACGCGGCGCTTCGTCGCCCCATTCTCGCTCCGAAGAACACTGCGCGCGTTCGGCCGCTCTTTCGCGCCCGTCAGAGACTGAGCGGGGCCGCTTGCCACGCGCTCGCCGCACTCATGCCCCCGCTTGAATTTGCGAGCTCCGCATCTGCAACGCCGTGGGCGTCCAGGATAGAGGTTGCCCTGAAATCATTGCCCTGCGCCCGACAGGTTTGGGCTGTTAGATTTCAAGAGCGGGCCGCCCAGCCAGCCCCGCCCTGCGCGCCGCGTCCGCGCGCCCAGCCTCGCGCCCGGCAAAACAGCTTTTCGCGCCGTGGCCGCCAGGCCCCAAGTTGCCCCGATGATCCCGGAGAGCCCGGGTTTTCCCGCCTCGCGCCCTCGACGAATTCGACTGGAACATGCGACGACAAAACAAAACTGCCATCGCCACAAGAAACATAACGCATATTGACATAATAAGTCATACCATGACCCCGTATCGCATAACATATACTAACACGACATCAGAGCATAATGACGACGGCATCGACATAACACAACACGGCACAACATAGCGTGGCATACAGGGCATGAGCATGACATACCGCGGCAGAACAGAGCATAGCAATGCAATGGCACCCATCGAACAGCATACGACATGCCAGAAGACGACATATCACAACATACAACCAGCGAGCCGAGCATGCCATAACGCACCTGAATTTTGCACATCGTATCATTGCACCGCTTCACGGCCCGCATCACTTCACGACAGCAGCGCATAGCGACGACGAGCACGACACAACACAACAGGACACAACCATGGCAGAACATGACAGAACATAACATTGCAATGGCATGACAATATATATCATGTCATAACACCACATACCATATCTGAGCAGAGCATGGCATACACCGCACTCATATCTATACCCCTGGGTGGGTGTATGTGCGGCCGTTTTTGCACTGTCATGTGCGCGCATGTGCGCGGCATGTGCCAGTCATGTGCCAGGCCTGTGCGGCCCCTTTTGGATGGACTTCCTACTGTGCACGTCGTGCCCGGGCATGTGCGGGGGCATGTGCGCTGTGTTTTGGTGTATTCATCATACGCACATGCACGCGCAGTCCGACGCACATGCGCGCGCATGCCTGCACATGCGGGAGGTGTTCGAGAATCGCAGATTTGTCATCGGCACATGCACGCACATGCCTGTGCAACCTCTCTTAGGGAGGCTGCGCGGGCCCGCGTGGGCGGTGTGGCATGTGCGCGCATGTGCGGCAATGCTGTCGAGGTTTTTGTATATGTGCATGGGCATGTGCATGCGACTGCGCGGCATGTGCCCGCATGTGCGGCCCCTTCCGGACCACAATTTCAAAGTGAGCACTATAGAAGTGAGCGCTATAGAAGTGAGTCCGGCGTACCAGACGGCGACAAAACACGTCATACCACAGTTCTAGCCGATCGTACGTGAACACGCCGTGCCAAATCATATCCTTGCGTGGCACAGCACCACGACGGAACAATGCATAACACGAAAGCAGAGCATACCGGCACATACCAAACGAGCATGTCATCATACGTCATACAGAGCGGAGCCGCCAACAATTGCACTCGCATTACATGCCAATGCAGACCATGACGCACCATACCATGTCATAGCACAACATAGCATAACATAGCCAGTTATACCGCCTCGCACCTGAACAGACCCTGCCACTCCATGACACATCATCACACACCATCTCGTAGCCCGACTGTAGACCATAGCGACGACGAACACACAAAAACACAACATTTCCAATATTACATCACAGGCGACGGCAGGTTGCGGCTATCTATCCCTTTCGCACCACGCGTTTTCGAGGGATGTGTTTTCGCCGCGGGGATTATTTCCATTTCTTTCGTCGGGGGTTCTGGGCTTTTGTTTTGGATTGGCGACGGCGGATTTCCCCGCCCGGCCCGACCGCCGCGCTGAGGGCCCCGCCTGCAGCGTTCCACCAATTAGGCGACCGCGCACCGTCGGGAACGCACGCCTGCGGTTTCGGTGGTGATCGCTCGATGCAACATTTGTTCAATTCGTATTTCTGCTGTTTGAAGCTCTTTCTCCCAATCTCGATTTTACAGGGCGGTCAGCGTGCAGCCCGCGCGTTCCACATGAGCGCGCGGGGCTCATTTCGCGGACGTGTCCTCCTGACACCCCGCCGCTTCATTGTAATATTTCATTTCGTAGATTTCCTTTCCCGCCCCCCACCCCCCCCCCCACCCCGATTGATTGGGGGCGGGGGGAAGAAGCCCCCCCCCCCGATTGATCAGGCGGCGGAGGCCTCAGGCGCACTGAAAATAAAACGGCTGGGGCGGAGGGGGCGCTGGGCGCGGCGGGCTGCTCGG